TGTATATTTAGTCCTTGGCTATTTAAATAGCGCCACCTAAAAATGTCACACAATCTCGAATTAGATAAGAGATAACTCAGCAACTGCAACTAAATATCTCGTGCGTTTTTAGTTGTGTGAATGCTACCTTTGTTTGTGTTCTTATGATAGCAAACGCGACGATCCCGTTGCTAGACAAGTATTTTTAGGCTGCAGTAGAAAGAAAAGCACTTACACGGGCTAGTACGTGGTTTCTTCACCCTGACTGCGATCACTGCTGCAACTTAGTTTGATATTCTCAGAACGCACTTTTGCACAATCCCCGTGACGCCCGGGTCCTGGGCTTATACTTGCAGCACTGTATTTTCAGGTTGTAAGATGTTCGTAATCCCCTGCCCATTCCTGAACCCGTCCTTTGACATAATGCCACACGTTTTCGATCTGATTCAAGTCGAGTGAACTTTCAAGCCATAAGAGAATTTCAACACCGTTGACGATAAACATCTTAAAGACACACTTTGCCACATGACACATAGTTCTCATCCATTCCCGAACCCGGACCAACATTTTCTTCTAAGTTACGTCACTACACTGTCGTCTTTTAGTAATCTAGCTGATTAAATACAGACCGCGGTTTCCAGCCAGCACAGTGGATGGAGACCACGGTCCACACAGATACTTTGCTGAGGTGTTTGTACTGAATTACATGAAGCTCGTGCAATCTTTTGCCAGAACGTCTGTAAACATATTAAACATTACCACCGAAAATCTCAGATTGTACTTTATCCGACAGCTTCCCTAGAACTGGTTAGTTTATTTGAAGCGCGCATACTTTTATGCACAAATCAGTCGAGTCCTAAAACCACTCAGGTTGGTACGACGTCCAGGGTCGTTACGGATATAGTGGCCCCGTGCTATTCCTAATTACGAAAGTTATTGAACTTCACTGTAAAATAGTCTGTGGCCACAACAACGTCATTGTCATCAAATATATAAGAGTAATACTAACTGCCGTTATACACCTCAAATAATTTTTGTCTATTCATGAACGAAACGGACATCCCAGTTGCACGTAATGGCTCAAATGTTGTGTACGCTGTAACGCATAGCCATTGGGCCAGACGTTTCCTTAAGCGTCTTCCTTTCCATAACCCTTAAAAAATGCTTCTCTAATCATTTTTGTTATCATTCGAATGAGGTAAACGGCTTTCACATAAAAAAAACCGCATGTAGATATTTAGTTCGGGTGCGAAGGTGCCTTTGACCATACTCTACAACATGTGATATTTTTAGGTGGCCTTATTTGATTGGCATTATATATAGAGCATTCTTTCAAGTCACTAATAATAATAATAATACAACAATCACATCTAATTTTGTAAAAAAAAAAATTGAAAATATTGATTTTTCAAGCGTACCAAAGCGCACTCGTCCGTCGACTAGGGCGACGATTGGTATGATGCCACGGCTCATTCAATATAAACACATCCACAGAAATAACGCACAACGTATTTGCACGTTATTTTTTTTTGCTCAGTGTAACACTTACGAACTCATTGAAAGAAAACAACTAAGCCAAGTAACATTTCAGGAAGTTAATATCCGTTGTTACTCGTTAACGATTCAGTAACCCTTAGAACACTTACCAAGTTCGGAAGTTTCGACAACAAACATATCAAACAACTTTGAATCGCTCTATGGCTAACGACGTTGTCGAAGATACTAGCTTGATGTTTGGCGCAGTAACTGGCTTTTTTTTTTTTTTTTTTTACACAGAATATAATATTACTTTCTAAAAATTTCATTATCTTACCTTGTCTTCAGCGGGTTGACTTGTATATTACACAGGTAGATTGCCAACACGATACGCAACTAGTCTATATATATATATATATATATATATATATATATTTTTTGGTTGTATGCACCGTAGTAGTTATAGATATCGCTAGGTGAATACCTTGGCGAGTATGCTAGACCTAGTATACCTATCAAATATTATCAACTGTGCTATTGTTCAAGTCATCAGTTAAAAACCTAATGGCTTTATCACTCACTCTCCAGGCAAATGAATGGAATCTTCCTTTAACGCAACCATAGCAAGTTGCGCTCACAGAAAGAACACTTAACTCTAGCTTCGGAGTTGGATATTGCAGGAAACCGAAGGGGCCTCGACTAAGGCTGGGTCATTGTTACACCGAGCAGGAAATAAGCAAAACGTATGTTTAAGAAGATCATAAAAAAAAATACAATTCGTTTTTTTTTTTTTTTTTTTTCAATTTAAAGGCCTCGTGCAGCCATTAAACATATATAGGTTGAAAAAAAAAATAGGGTTTAAAACCTACCTAGTCTTAACAACTAATTAATCATTAGAGAACCCTGAGTGACATAGCTAGTTCTCTATCATACGGTAGTGGGTATTTTTTTATGGAATGATGCAATATGCTTGTAATGTCAGTCAGTTGGTGCAGGATCTTAGTTTCGACTGGCACATTGTATTTATCTTTTCATCAAACACTGTTTTTCATTACACGTTTCTCACCCTGTCGAACGAGGAGCTGGATCTTGTCAATTGATGTTGACCCACCGTTTTCACTTCCGTTTAACAATTTAGCTCATTTCATCCAATTTATCCAAAATAATAGCCTGACACTGCACAATTTACACGTTACTCTATGATATGAAATCATTGTCACTCGAAGTTCGTTTACAGCTGCTGGTCTTCGACTTGATGATGGAACCTCGTCGAGGGCCGAGATGACGTCACTGAAAGTACTTCTTGGGTCTTGAGGGGCCGATTCATTTACCAATGCTGCGCTATAAGTGCCAGCATTGGTAAAAGTTTGTGCATCTCCAGTGGAGGGAAAGATTGGAGAGAGTTGACATCTCCACATGGACCTGCCGCCAGCAAAAACCCTCTTCGGTCTTGCAGCAGATTATAAAGACTCCATCGCCCTTAGAATGACCAGCAGAGTTCTGTAGGAATCTCATTGTTTTTGCTGAGATACCCATAAAGCACGAGCCAGCAATCTTGGCTCTTGACTACTTAGCATAGCACACGTAATGATCGATAAAAAAAAAAAAAAAAAAAAAAGGCCGATATTGCGTAACTCTAACAAGCTTTCAAGGATTTCATTTTTTCTCCCTCTCTCCTATATATTTTTGCCGACATGGACAGATGATATTTCGGAGGCAAGATGAGCCCTTACTTTAGTGTTCCTTAATATGCAAGTCAAATAAGACCGCAGTGTTTGTGGTTTTCTTTTTAGCATAAACTACTTCGAGCCGGCCATCAAACTAGAACAACAAGTTTGGGCATTTTTCAAACGGAGGCGCGTACTATACCCGGTAGCGCCTACTTTAGTAGCGCTATCAGTTGCGATTTTGCAGCGACGATAAAGTCTGCATAAAGTGTAATATGGATGATGGCAGTGTAACGATACGGTCGAACGTTGCCACGCACGCTGTCATTAAGCGTCGGTGACGTCCTACAATCCCAGCTGATATCATTTTGAAAATATAAGACGTCCGATTTTAGCTAAATATCCGGTTCGTTGGTCGAAAGGTAAATTTGGGTTTGGTAAATGTTAATATTGAATTTCAGGTGATATATCAGTATAAATATGTGACAATTATGCCAGTAAATTTGACAAAAGAGTGAAAAATAGTTATCGAATGCTTCCTTACAACTATTATGCCCCCATGGTACAAAACATCCTGCATTCATAACAAACAAACAAACAAACAAACGTACATATACTATAGTACTTTGAACAATCAGAATTTTAAGAAATCCACTGTGATATCATAGGCTGTGGTCAACGAGTACGTAGCTGTTTTTCCCCACGTTTACGTACGTGGAATTATTGCGAACCTGCGAGCGACCCAGGCCTTTTTCATCAGTTATGCACATGTAGCTCCTTGCAACTGTTTCGTTCGCAAAGGTCAAACAAGTTAACGCATATAACTGTTTTGAAAAAATTAAAATTATTCCCGTTAAGGGTAACATTATATAGTTAATAAAAAGGTCATGAAGCATATCACCATACCTATTTAGCTGTTAAATAAATCCTGGCTTTTTTCATTTTGAAAATTTCCTAAGAATTAGACTGAATAAAGGGGAGCTAAGGCACATAAGGCGGGACTCAGCGTTTAAGCTTCGATCGAATATAGAAACAGGACGGTAATAAGTTATATTAGAAGGGCCTTTCACAGTTTCTTCAGGAAATGACAAGATACCCGAAGATCCTGTTTCGGCTATAAAGAGGTTAACGAGGTAACGATTGTTGTCTTAAACGTTCAGTGGTTACAGCAATGTATATTCTTCACTTCAGTAACGTATTTTCTGAACTAGGTTTGTTTACTGAACATGCTATCGACTACGTCATGGAAATTCCGTCGGTCCCGTTCGAATGTGACGCATCCCGGCTATTCTTTGGGTTAGCATTACGTACGTATAGCAGCCTTTCTTTTAGATTCAAATGTTGATCCGATTCTTCGTCTCGTTTAGTTTACTATTGAAATTGCTATTCATGCTCATCGTAAGATTGACCTACTAGATACGTCGTCTTTTTTGTTTGGCAAATGAATATAGATCGTGGTCGAGTACGGACACCTGAAGAGAACAATTTTCACAGAGACTTTTCTCACAGTAACTGGTACAGTAAGTTGATAGATCTACTCACTTGAAATGATGTATCGTTTGAGGCTCAGCAAAAAGAGGAGAAATATCGCCTACGAAGCAAGAAACACCACAAGTAATATCCTAAAATCAAACACATGTATCGAGATTGCGTGGATATGACGGTGAGCGCGTACATCTTGTAATTTTCGTGGTAATATCCAAACAGATTTAGGAGCTGGAAGTTGTGAGGCACGCCACGCCGAAGGGGTGAAAGGCTATTTTAAGCAAACGACGATGCGAATCTCCGTGGATCTGTTAATGTAACCGAGTTACCTACACTCGGCTTAAACAATAAATGATCTTGGCCTAACTGTTTATTACAGGACACGTGTAACAGGGTATGTATTTGACAAGTTCAGCCTATCCTAGTGTTCAGACTAGACGACGTCAGCACAGACAAGCTCACGACCAGGCAGCTCATGATGATATATATTTTTTTTGCTTTTCGTCAAGGTTCTCTTATTATTCGCGCAACATCGCAGGTTCTGCTCAGTCTGAAGAATAATATACAACGATATGTATAATAACCACTACGCAATCGCTCTTCGAATTTGCTGCTACAAGGTTTATTCCATACACATCATTAGTAAGGGTACCGCACGAAACTTTCTTTAGATATGGTAAGTTATAACGCATCTCTGTCATGAACAGAAAATTTAAAATAGGACATAATTTGTTGAGTAAGAGTAAGTAAGTAAGCAGACAAACGTCTGCTTCTTCAATTAATAACGTGTACTGTGCTATTGGCGGAAGTAGAAGGTTTACACGTCGACAGTGACTGCGCCATTTAAGTGAGCACGATTAAAACTGTCAAAATGATTTATCAATGTAAATCACACAATGTATCTGCACAATGTAAATCGTAAGGACACACACGTGAAAAAGGCGGACCTGCGAGATAAGGGGAGCAATGTCTTTAGGTGAGACTGAAAAGGCATTGTTTGATTTGTTTACAAGCACTTTATACTAATAGATATGCCAGGTTGAATAAACTATAATATGCACATAGCAGAAAGTGTTGTCGGCTAAAGTAATTGCGCACTGGGTTTGCCGGGTTTAGACCCTGAACTACAGGTAGCATCAAAATACACGCGTTGTAGGTATCGTGGTAACAACGGAGTTAGGTGGTAAAGTCTCAACCAGTATGTGACGTTCTCAATGGTGATGGTTAAAAATGAACAAACTTCAAATGCAGTCACATACACACAGCGTCAAAAAAGGTCATAAACTGCACCAGTCCGAATGAGGCACGACAAATACTTCAGTTGCGCTTCACACACCATTCATGAGACGTTCATAACCTCAGTTGTAAGTTACCTAGTTTTATATGTAAGTGACTTTTGATTGAAAGGCACGCGTAGTATACATTCGTCAATATTTTAGCACCGAAATAGCTTTCGACGCACGTTTTACGACTATATCAGTGTTTTTAGATTGTTAGAACGGCCCGACAGTGGCATTACGTGGCAGAATTCGGACATTTGTTCTGTACCTACGAGATAGCGAATCAGCGATCCACTCACCTCGTGTGCGATGCTGAAAATGTGAGCCAGGACCGCTAGGACAGCAATGCTTATATCCTCCGTTTGAGGGCCGACTAGATAATGCTGCCTCTTGTGAGAGGGTGGCCTGCATGACAGCGGCACCCTGTGGCTAGACTGAAGCCATTAGGGTGCTCAGCCTATAGAAAGCCTACCGGAGCCATCTTTTTTCTGTTTCCGAAATGATAGTTGGCATATGCAGAACCAATTGAATATAGTGCGAAAACGTATTGCAAAGGCTGTTACTAAAACGTCATAACTTAGTTCGCGCCATCGAAATGCAGTAAATGCGGCATAAATAGTAATTGGTGTTTGTTACACACAATCTCGATATTATGCGCATCGAAACTCCTATTTCAGTTAAACTTTTTGCCATCTTATTCATTTGTTAGAATATCGTTGCTGGTAATCTGTTTAACAGTCTTGTTTCGTATTTTCTGTGCGCCTCTGCGCTCTCTCCAAAGTCCAAAAAAAGTGCCGGTGAAGATGGCAGGCTATGGCTATGAAACCATGACCGGACGGGACTACGGAGAAAGGATCAGGACACAAGAATTATGTCCTCCTTCTATCGAGGCGAATCCTTATTCGAGTTAGCCGATCGAAACAAGTCTTGCTTGGGCAGGCAACGATTTTCTGGTCCGTTGGATGTCCTGCTATTCCGCTATTTTTGGGCTATGATGGCCATAACCAGTTCAAGCATGTATTGAAATCAGCCAAACAACATTGGCCGGCATATGTAAGTTTCGTCCTGTTCATGTTGGGATTTCTCAGTGGTTGCCGCACTAAAATTTTAATGACAATGTCATTGTCGCATGTCCCAACGATCACGAAGTTGTATATACAAGTTTATAATTTTTTTTTACGTTTATTACCAAGTTTTACTATCTCGGCTGGACCATAATTATCTCTCATCAATAAATATTAAGTTGTAGCTCTAGCTAACCGAGTAATGAAAGTTATCCAACCTCGAAAAACGTCATGGCTGAGATAAGCTTTAGGCTGAGCCATGGGTACGCTGCGTTACCCTCTAGGTAGCCTACAAAGCAGTAAATCAAATCAATAGAAACGAAATAAAGACTTTGGCGAACACTTTTTACTAAAAAAAGGCTTTTTAGCTTACGGTATCATTATTAAGTAGTATGGCTGACACTTCTACCGATCGGTACTAGCCATCTGAATCAGAGGGTTTCGTAATTACTGAGTTTGAGCCGATCTTCCTAGGGCGTCTTCCTAGAAAAATCATTGGTTTTATTGAAGAAAAAACTCTAAATATATAATTCGACCTGCAGTAGATGTCCTGCACTAAGAAAAGCAGGAAGAATTCAGAAAAAAAATGCTAAAGATCTCTTTGAATTAAGAAAGAAGTTCCGACAATTCCCATGAATGATTATCATGAATGGTTATCAGGGCAACCCTTCACTATAATTTTAAACTAGAAACCACAGGGATTATTAGTAGTAAAGAAGGTCAGTTACGGTTATGATCTTGATTCAATTTCAGGCCACTCTTATTTACCATGGAAAAATTACTTCAGCACACAACAGACACCTTTACTTCGCGTATTAGCCCAATCATTTATAACAACGAAGCTTTTACATATCGCGTATTTTTAACAAATTTCTATACGGTATGTTACATTTTTCATTATGAAAACAGGATTGTTGCATACATTGGAAAGCACTCAACATAGATGTGATGCGTATTAACACTAAGATTTGTTTCCATTTGAAGTTTTAATCAGTACAAAAGATCTTTTGTCTAATGTCTAATGTAGCTCCCTTGAATTTACTTTGCTCAGTCGGAGCACGGCAGATGTACTATCGCAGTAATAGGTTTGCCTTTTCTAATACATATCTCCAGATAAAGCTCATTATAAAAATGGTAAGTATGTCGTCCCGTATTTTGGCATTTCTTCCTTTTGATCCTCGCGCGATCCAACAACTTCGACGTCTTCGTTCAAAATTTCTACGAACATTTGACCCCGGCGGAAAGTGGCGCCAGCTGACCGACGGCGCGTATCACGTATGGCAGGCGTTTATTGGCCTATCTACACTAACGGTCCTGCTCCGTAGTTCTGGTTCGGATGATATACTATGGCCTGTAGTGGTAGCGGCTAAATCGCTATTCGATCTGGTGCTAGTGGTCAGAGCCGGGACTGATCCGCTTAGTCTATTCGGTGCCGGATCAAGACGACGGAAATGGAATGTCCAGCTGTTGGACACAATCTATCACCGGATCTGGATTGTAGTGGTAACGGTCAGGCTGCAGTTCTATGCCTCACTGGCGATTTATGACAGTGATGCTATCGAGCTCGAGCTACTTTTGCTACTGAGAAAGGTTTGTAAGAGCCTATTACGTGTTCGAGTTATCAGTGCCATGCTCTATATACGCGTACATATAGAACTGTCTAAGCCCACTTGTTGCATGTTTTGGTTCATTTTCGAATAGGTAATAAACGTTTTACCGCGCCTTCTTTTGCACACGTTAATCGCTGACGTCCACCAAGTATCTGGACGCGATGAGACCCAATCTTCAGTTCTTCGCGATCGGCCAACAGGTAACCCAACAAGCAATCGTGAAGCAACGGAAGCTAAAGGGGCTGAAGTTCCACATGCTGGAAGTAAATATAAGTCAGTAGCACAACAAGCCAGGGTTAAGCTCCACTCACAGCGACCCAATGAGAAAAACGTGGGCACAAATACTTCTTAATACAAACAAGCATAGTAGCTCCTAAATAATGTACAATAATATAAAACAAGGTAATTTTAATTTAAAAATAATTGTGTTTTATCAGACTACCATCACTACTTGATGCCTGAAATTTCACCTAAGTTGATTGGTAATTTGCTTAGCTAGCCAATGAAGTGGTAGGGTGGGTGATCTATTCTTACCGAGACCCAAAATTTCTTATAGATTAAAACAATTTTGTTTACAAACAAAAAACGAAGGTGCAGATGTTAGAAGCGTGATGAAACTATGATAGGAATTAGGTTACTTTAATGGCTAATCAATGATTTCGCAAGGTATAGTACGTCATCTATCTTCTAGGTACCGCAAGCCAATTTTCTGGGGTTCGGCAAGTTCGAACAAAGCTGAACTTCTGAGTTAAAAGTATTCTATACTCGGATGCATGATTAGCTATGTAGACATATAATCGGCAGGAAAATGTAGCTAGATAAGTAATTGTAGATAGTAGACAAATGACGTACCACAAGGCGCAGCATTCGAAGAGATAATAATCGGCTGGTATGGAGAGTTTTAGTTCGGCAGAAACATACGCTAGGCTCAGAAATGCAACCCAGGAGGATTCGTTACTCCTCGGGACTTTTTTTTTGCCTAAACAAATACAGTTGGTTTACCGAATCACAATAATGCACACATAGTGATCATTTCGATTTCCAAGTCTGTTGTTCTATGGACAAACTATGACGTCTGTACAAAATAGAAAACATGTGCTGCATTCCCATGGCATTATACCTGCTGAGATTCTATGTGAGTTTTAGAGTAACATCGAAGTCCTATTTAGAAATACCCATAGAATTGGTCCTTTATAACCTTGAATTGATATCATTTCTGCATGAGATCGGAGGTTTAAAAATTTTAATTTTTTTTTAATTTTGTGACTCCTTTAAGCCTAGATTAGGGATTCGAGGTTTTCATGACAAATATCACGAACAGATATCTAGAGCTTATTGAAATGGTCTATGGTACCTCACAATAACGAAAAAACAAAAAATAGAGAATCAAAAAAAAAAATGTACTTTTGCTTACAAGGCGGTGGCATTGTTTTGTTTGGTAAAGTCCTATAAGCAAGCGTAACAAAAAGTTCAGAGTAAAGATGTAGCATAATACTGACTATCTCTAGTGAGAAAGATACTAAATATATTTATATAAAAGAAGCATTTATCGGTCTAAGAAGCTAAACGCGGGACGAGAACTTTATTGAAAAGAAAGTTCTCGCGCATCAAAAGAATTTCTCTCTCCCTTAATTTAAGTGTAGAAATAAGAGAAATAAATAAGAAAATCTTTTTTCTTCTCATGCCATTCAGAAACATTCTTATTTTTCCGCTGTAACGCTATTATGTTCAATTTAAGCTGAAATATGGACGTTTCACAGAAGGGCAGAAGTGCATTTTTGACAGCTTTTATACTATGCGTTTCGTCTGAGCTAAAACTACATACGGTAGGCTATGTGTGGTAACGACACCATAATTACTGCTTGAGAGTGGTCTACCAAGTCTAAAAACGGTGTTTGTAGAATGTTTATAGAATGGCACCGCTCTAACATGTGAAGATAACAACCATGTGCTTATATAGAAACTAGGAGCTTCAGCACTTCATAAATGATCTCAATTTAACAAAAAATTACGGCTTAACTCTGCATCTTAACATTATCAGGTAGCGAATGTCAGCCGGTCATACAGAATCGCTACGGACGTAGTCTGTAGAGGAATGGGTGGCTTCCTGGAAAAATAAGAAAGCCCAGAGCCAAATAGGCCTGAATCCGAAAATAATGTTTTATGATTGGTGAAACTGCTAATTCAGTGCTACGAACTTGGCACGTTTATCTAGCTCAGTTGCAGGAAGGCAACCAGGTTGTTCAAAAGAGAAGACTCAACCAAAACGGGCTATGCACGATAAACATCGTCGAATTTGTCGTCCTAAATTTCACATGGGAGGTTTTCCCGCACCTTCCGTTTGCTCTGGGGCTTGCGGTAACGGATTTTCGGTTTTCACGTTTATTGGGCTATCGGCTTCGTGCCGTTACCTTCGACACAGATCGAAAAGTCAAAATGTAACCAGAAAATGTCCTTAACACGAAACCCGCTACCTACTAGCGGGATGGCAGACACTATTTGGTGGAATAATGGAGAAAAGGCGTGGACATAAACGATAGGGGATACATGTCTATTGTCATAGGAATCAAAAAATGCTCTCTCTGTTCAGAAGAAAAAGACCAAGGAGCTTCCTACACCTGTTTATCTATCTGCAGTGATCAACACGAAGACCACCAATGTAAATAAACAGTAACTTCTTATACCGGCTTACGCAGTTATTACTATAAGAATATTAATAAAACGTTATTATCACTACAGAGACGCTCGATAGATACATACGTTCAATTTTCCAGCGGATAATAGCAGTTTTTGTATATTGCTTCTTTCTAAGTTATTGTTTGTTGATGTTAAGCAATATGTACCGCATAAAACTACATAAAGATTTTATCACCGTTTTATTTAGGTAAAACGTTTTCTTTTGAGTTTGAACTTTAAAAATGTGCATATCGGATCGCAGAAAATAGAATTTTCGATGCTTATCAGTCGTCTCATACTGTGCGTCACGAAGACTAGCCAAAGCCATGTAGGAGTCAAGCCTACAGGCGCGCATTGATAGCCGACTTGTCCTATCACAATCAGCTTTTTGCACTAAGGTGCCACGACGACTACTCACTCTGTTAAGCTGGACATTTTTTTTACCGAACTATTACGACCACGCCGTTAATACTTCTACATACGCAAATTAAAGTCTCCTCAGTTCCAGGATGGCTTGAAATTTTAAGTTAACAATTTAGGGATACGGGCTCATGGGAAGAGATTTTGGAAAGGGTTTTTTCAAATTTCTCCTTGTATCCTTCCTGCTGTGCGAGCAGACAGTTTAGCTTCCTTAAAAGGGCTAGTATCTATTTAATAGCATCATTACTATGCCGAATAAGTACAGGTCGTCGATGCTATTTCAGTTCGAGAGAGAAAAAGCGAGACAGAAGATGTAAGAGATAAACAACAGAGATACAAATTCACATTGTGTGATCACGTGATCTTAAGAGGTGCAATAAATCGAAAAGGGAATAAATATTTTCCTGTAACGTTACTATCTATACAAAAATTTGCCCGGAATGAATAATTCGTGTATTTTTACCAGTCAAGAGATACAGGGCTGAGCAGACATCTGTTTTGAAGGTCGTTCGCTCTGCTCGGGGAATATCTGAAGCCGATAAACGAGCCATTTTTTACCACTGGAATTCTATGCCGATGTACTACTTAGACTATTGAGTGATTTTCTAAGAACTTTAATCACGTATAGAACAGTTTGCTCTTTTATTTAGCACATAATTAAAGTCAGTTGATTGAAATTAACTAATATTAATAAGTAAAGGTCTTGGATTTAGTTCGCTTCCTAATGTTTCCCATTAGAATGACCTTAATCTGAACTAGGATTATTTTGATCTTTTTAAAGCTGTTTTATCAGTTGATATCACCTTAATGCTCGATCGGGCTACTAAAATAATGGCACCAGCATCAGTTGTCACGAGCTATTATCTCGACACGGACGAGTAATCTAGCATGATACATAAAATGCTTATTATTTATCTCTTTTATAGAGCAATATTAAAACACGTGCTTGAGGCAACTACCATTGACTATAATGAATGCTCGATGCAGACGACAAAGGTACATACTCTAAGAGGACATTGGCCTTTTTTTTTTGAGACTATGCTCACGATGGTGTTAGCGAACAGGGTTATTGCTGTGGAAACAGGTGATTCAACACATTGCGACACCTGCTGGGCATGCCTAGTTTAAGACGGGACTTTAGGAGCATTTGGTCGACCTACACGAGTCGTCGCCTGAGTACCTATGATAGGCCGACTTTTTCTCTTTTTAACTGCACGAATAAAAAATCCGTTTTCTAAATGCCTTTTGTCTACCATTCATTTCGCCTGCGAGCGTTCCGTTCGAGTACACTTCGTCAGCTAAAAATATCTCACATATTCGATAACATGTGTTACTCTTTCTTGGTCGGTATCAAGCACACGTTAGGACCGCGATCGCTGCTTCAGGCATTTATTAGAATATCATCGGTAGCTTAACTAGAAGACTTTTCGATTTCTGCCTGAATATTTAGCCGCGTTGAAACGCTATGGCTCTCCGCAACTAGAACTTGCTTTTCTGGAACTGAACAAAAAAAATACTTAGAATAAAAAATAGTTTTACTTTTTTCAGGACGCCGATTTCTTAAAAGCTCGGAAAGGTGGATCGGAACAGAATATTTTCCAATAAGTTAATTATAAAAAAAAAAAAAAAAAAAAAAGGAAAATCGCTGACGATAAATTCCAAGTATTCGTTAATTTACTTATAATTTTTATCAATCAAAATGGGTCCTAAATATACTAAAAGCGAGACTCACTTCTCATAGCAGCTCTCCAGCACTTATTTCCTAGTGCTTAAAGCGTCTTATGTGATCAGTCAAACGATTCTTTTACTGAACTTCATCATTCCCTAAGATAGTGACTTCAAGACAGCGGTATTGATTACACTCTAAGGTGCCCATTTGTCGAGCCTTTTTTACAAGCGGTGTGTCATTGCATCGTCAACTAGCTCGTAAAATGATATCGTGCCCCCCTTCGAATACAACACAGGCCTTTGAAAGTGTGCCAATTAGAGATAGGTGTATTCTAACATAGGTATTATTAAAAATAACGCTCCGGAGTTAGTTTTTTTCACAGCGTAATGTCCGGAATTGTCAAGGCCGTGTGCGTACCCTCGACGTATACCGTTAAAATCCCAAGGCTGTTTAGTATTCGTTGTCGCTACAATAACTACGCGCCACGGTCACATGGAAGACTTAAGAATTAGTAGACATATCGTTCCGCTGTATATCAACATTACGTTTGCGTCAAGAACCTAACACGAAAAGACCGTTGACCTATCACCAGAGTAGATACCCTCGCCTCAGCCCTAGAA